TGAATTTCTGCTTTCTACAAGCACTGGAGATGCCAGTGCCTCTCCCCGCTCATCTGGCCTCGTGTGGTTCTGTAGGGTTTCAACACACAGAGGTTGCAACTCTCATAGTGGTGGTAACAAAAAAGTGGCTTTGGGCTCGGGCGCTGTGAGATGTAGGTGCTGCTTCTGTGTGAAATCTCCCTTTTCCTGGAGGTGGTAGGAGAGGGTGTTGGGTCACCTCGGCGTTTTGAAACGGCTGCCTCTTCATCCTCGCTTCTTCCTCATCTCCTCCCCCTTAATTTGTGGCTAAATCCTACAGTAAAGGAGATGATTGCGTATAGTTCAGGTTGCAGTAATGAACATCTGCTTTCTCACGTGTTATTTCTCCTGTTCTTCTTTCGAGGGTGGACTAAAACGATACTAATGTTATCACTTGCCAAGGTGAAACTGGGGGCCAAGCTGTTGGTCTGGCTGGATAAAGGTGTCTGGTATCTGCTGCTTCTGCTTCTACTGTGAAGGTGGGCGCTAAAAACTGAGGACAGAGAAGGGACAGAAGGTTGGAGTTGATGGACTGTTACTTTCTCTACAGTCTGGAGAAGAAAGGCTCTTTCAGAGGCTGTAGTAACAGGTACTCTTCTGAAAAGAAAAGGAAAAAAAACAAACCCAAGGCTAATAACCAAATGCAGGGTCAAGTGTGCTGATGATGTGCTGCTATCAGAGGACAGGGACTGCCCAGCCCGCCGTCGGAAGCTGGGAACGCTGTTTCTGTCCCAGCTGGACGTGTCAAGTGTCGGGCCCGTCCTGGCGGACCGGGGCCAACGCTGTTGCCGCCTGGGGTGAGGGGTGTAGGGACTGGTGTCTCCTGTCTTACAGGCTTCTTTCCAAGAGAAGGAATAGACACAACTGAAATCTCACAAAAGCATCAGATGGTCCACCAAGGAAGCTGCATCTCTTTGGCCCAGGGAAGTGGCTTCTAAGGGTGGGTGGAAGCTGTCGAGGTGTGGGAAGGGGAGGCTTCTCCTGAGCACTTGGTTGGTGCTCCCAGTGGGCTCCCTGGGATGCAGGCCTGGGCAATGACATGGAACTGTGGCTCTGGGTGTGCGTCACACTCACCTGGGAGCTTTCCAGCAGGTGCCAGATAAAGAGTTCTCCTGTGAACTTAGGTGCTTCTCTGGATTTGTCTTCTACTAGGCTGAAATACAAGTCAGGGTAGTCAGATCTTGATGTCCAGAAAGAGTCGGTGGTTGTGATCAGCACTGTGGTCACTGGCATCTGTTTGTGGTGATGGAATGTACAGCTTCCAGAAAGAATTCCTTCCTCCTCCCTCCTGCTCTTGCAGCCCCCACTGCTCAGTGTACAGTTGTGCATGTTTTAGGGATCCTCGCTGTTCCTGTGGTCATTTCTATGCGCCCTTGTCCTATGTACAAACACTTTTTAAAGAAAATACTTCCTTTCCTTTTAAAGGATGCACTGAGGCATTAGTGTAAAAACAAAGTTAACCTGATTTAAATAAAATTACTGTACAGAAAGCAGAGTTCTTTAGTTTTGTGACAGGTGGGTCTCGCATTAGGTGTAGACTTTTGGGAGGAACGATGCTGTGAAACCAGCCTGTAGCTGGGGGTGTGGGTCACCCTGCGTGTAACACAGCAGCTCCAGGCTTGGTGTCACCCCACACGGTGCTTGCAGAAACCACAGGTGGAAGTCCTGCTGTGGAAGGGTTTCTGTGATGGCTGGATAAAACCTCTCAGCCTTGGAAGGATTTTGGCTTCGTTTTGGTGCAGGTCTTGGAGCCTGTGGTGACCTGACAGGGGCTTATTTCTGGTGGTGGGAGGAATGTGCTTCTCCCTTGGAGAAGCTCCTGTGAACTCAGAGCGTCTGTGAGTGCCTGGGACAAGGGGGAGAAGGTGCCCACTTGCTCCCCACACTTGTGGGCAGAGAGAATGCAAAAGGAAGAGCGATGACGGGCAGCGGAGTGGTGTTATGAGTTGGAAGCTAAATGAAAGTCTGCCTGAAAACTTTTTTTTAAGGCAATTTTCAGTGATGTAAACCCTGCTGTCTTGAGGGGAACCCCTAGTAATGGATGCCTGTCCTTTTTTCTAGTCATAGCTGGGAAGAACCCCCTTTTTCTAGAAGCGTTTATCACAGCCTGGTTCCCTGCTCCCTCCCTGTAAAGACTCTGCAGCCTTTCATCTACCTCAGAATGCTGATGCTGTAGTGGGGTTTGGAAGCAGGCTCATGCATCGGCACGTGGCAGTTGGGTTTCCTCTTAAACTTGCAGAAACTGAGTTCAGTCGATTGATTGTTACCTTGGTTTGAGGCAAAGGTGCGTTCTGATGAGATCTGCTGAGGCTCAGGATGATGCAGAATACAAAAATCTGAAGGATGATCACTTGGTATGAGAACAGCTTAGAAAAATGAAAGGATGAAACTTAAATTACCATCTCCTGAGTGTGATAGTTCTTACAGAGCTGGGGTTTGTGCTCTGTGTTCCTTATCAGTGGCCCAAAGGCAAACAGCTGGCCCTCTCCTGAGGTGGGACAGCCACCTGCAAGTGCTTGTTGGGATCAGATTTATATTTGAAATGCCCAGGAGTTCCAGCAGGAGCTGACCCCTGCTTAAAACTTTTTGCTTCTCTGTTTAGCCTCTGTCTGCCTAGAAACACGTCTCTAAATCTGTATTTCTGTGTACATCCACGCTGCAGTTCTTTGCAGAAACAGTATCTCATGCCTGATAAGCTTTAACTAGAATATAATCTAAAACTATTTAAACATTTTACTTTCTGGAAAAGTTTTTCCTTCCCTCGCATTAATTCTGTTAAGTATCTATTGATTAGCAGCAGAGGAGGCTGCAGGGAAGTGCACTGCCTGGACAATGCAGGCATTGGAATACAGACCACAGCAAAGACAAAAGGAGAACTCCCAAACAATACAGAAATCAAAGGGAAGTGCTGCTGGTCCTTGATCTTTCTGTACACTGGGAAGGTAAGTCCAACAGGACCAGGTTCCAGCTTTTCCACCAGCCAGAAGTATAAGAAGGAAACCTCTCCATGAAGGAATAGGCTTACCAGGGCTGTGCTGTAAACACACAAAGCTTTACTGGGAGGTAGCAAGAAAGGTTTTTTTAGTCACCTCTGTTTTCATATGTGGAAGGGAGGTGTTTACAGCTGGAGAATGAGCAACAGCTCCAGTCTGGTCTCATCTGCACCAGTGCTCATACTGAGGACCTTTGGTTTTGCCCTTTCAACACGGTGGAAGTGACTCTTACGAAGACCAAAGAGGGCTGTTCCAGCACACTCATGGTACACAGCTACATTCCAAGAAGTTTGTAGTAAAACATCGATACCCATTGGAACGAGCAGAAGGAAACCCTTGCTGCTTCTCAGGTATGAGCTTACAGGTGCCTCTCTCAAGAGGCAACGGCCCCAGCCGTGGTCTCAGAGCTGGCACAGGCAGTGGCAAACGCTCGTGACTCTCAGCCCCTCGTGCAGGAGACAGTGGCTGGTCAGCCCGGCGCTGGCGCTGCCTTTCGGGGTGATTCAGGACCATGCACACGAGCTAGTCAGAAACAGCAATCTGCTACCAACTGTCTCTTCATTCTTTCTTTATTTCTAAAGCAGATGATGCAAAAAGTGATCTCTGCTGTACAGCATTCCCCAGGGCTGCTTATTGGCAAGTGGTGTTTCCTGTTACTTTGTTCTGCTTAGGCCACTTGTGGCTGTTCTCCCAAAGACACCAACTGAGTGCTGTGAATTAAGTTTCCCTTTGCTAATGCCCACCTCATTCCTGTGAAATCCGAGGAGATGAAAGGTAAACAGCAATACTTGCATCGTAGGAGACCTCTGGAGCCCTGTTCACTGATGCAGAGCTTTAGGACCTGAAGTGCAGAAGCAGGCTTCCGATGGGCTGGGCCTGTTGGGAAAAGCTTCATTCCTAGCACAAAAACCACCCCAAAGTCAGGCTCGCTGTCTGAATAAAGCAGATCTATTTCAGCACCATAACATTTTATTAAACTACACTATCAAAATCACATTGATGGCAGGGAGAACGTTGCTATCAGTGCATCTTTTCTGGACCAAGACTGTATTTGTAGCATCCAGCACTTGCTGAGGAAAAGGACACTGAAACAGGATCCTTCATAGCCAAAGAGACAGTAGAAAACTTCTACAAAAACCAGGGCAGTCAGGGGATAGTTGGAATAGATCAAAGGGAAACACTTCAAGTCAAATCAGTCGGGGAGGGGGGTATTTTTAAAAAGTTTACCTTTAACCAGTGTTTGTAAACTTCCTCATCTGAGGCATGAAGATGTTGATAAACAGCAGTTTCTCAATTAGCATCCTGTCCCTGCGACTGCCTGTTCACAAACCCACACAAATATTGTGTACCGCTCCCTCACTGGTGAACCGTGATGCACACACTCGAATACAACAGCTTGAAGTGTACTACAGTTATAAAAACTTGCTTCATCTTCTAGAACGAACAATAAAAAGTAGCAGAAATACATTCTATACAGAAGTAAAAAAAAAAAAACAAACAAAAAAAAAACCCCAAACAGTTGAGTTTCAGACAAATATTAGAGTACATCAGGTTGAATTTAAAAAGTCTCACCTTCTAACATCTAGATAACTATTCCTACTCTCCCCCAGCTGGTGACACACCACAGCACAGCCCACAGCTGCTTTCTGGCACAGGCAGGACAACCAGCAGCCTTTCTGAGCGAGCATCCTCAGGAGCAGGTTGTGCAAGGAGTTGTTTGGTGACAAACCTTCCGCAGGGCTGCAAGTGGAGGTTTGTGTATGGAATAAGGCTCTTTTCAGTCTTCAGGTGAAGACTCGTATTTCAGTACCGTTTTGACCCGAGGAACTGGTGAAGCAGTTGTCTGTTCCACCTCTGGGCAGAAGAGCAGGTGGTGAGGAGCGTTTGCCTTCTGGAGGAGAGGAGCTATGTACAGCAGGTCGCTCGTGGTCCCACTTCGAACAAGGTCCTCACGCCCAGCCAGCTGGGCTCTGCCCCACGGGGGGGCTGTCAGTAGCACCCATCCTTCCACGAATCGTCCTCGGTGGCCTGAGCAGTCTGTGCTGACTGAAGGAATCTGGTTTGGGAGTCAAAACAACAAAAAAAAGTCACAAAACAGCTACAAGAAGCAAAGCCCCCAGTAATCCGTGGAGGTAGGCAGGAACCCTTGTTTGAGGGTTCAGTTTATGCTGAGCTTCTCCAACATCTGTCTTCTGACAATGGCAGCATCTGCCTTGGGTAACTGCTGTGGTCACACTCACGCAGCTCGTGCATCCCACGTGCCAGGGCACCAGCACGACAGCAGCAGCAATTCCAGGCAGTTTCGGGAAACTGAGTATTGCTGGGTGCTTAGTGGCATAGTTACCCTGCTCTGCTAAAAGCTATTAACACTGTTGAGGGTTTTTCCCATGACCGAGTCCAAGAAAAATATTTTTCCCTGCAAATATGACTAAACACATGAAAAATAATCAGGTTTTTAATTTGTAGTAGTACTCGTATTACGTATGAGTTTAAAAATTCCCAGCTTTTTTTTTTTTTCAAAGGAGATAGTTCCATTTATTGAAGGCTACAATGGGACTCCAAAAATTAAAAAAATACTGATCACTTACTAGTAAGATACTGAATCACAAAAGTTCATAGATCATAAAAAAGTTCACACTACAATTCTACTGCAAACAGCTGGAAAAAGTAGCTTTTGGCAATTTGGTAGTGGATTTACTACACACAAAAACAGAGCAGCTGCTTTAGGTCAATGGGATAAGATCCTGCTTTGCTCAAACAGTGCCAGGCAGTTGTTAACAGCATCTCGGGGGCCTTATTTCAAGAGATTGACTGTGTTCCAACTAAATAACTTGCTTTAGACTATCTAGAAACTTCAGATATCCACTAAATATTTAGGAAGCTAACCATAAAAGCTAAAAGCTAGAAATAAATGTTAAAAAAGAAAAGGTCCGAAGACCCATTGCAGCTTTCTGGATTAAGAAGTGGCCTCTAAATCAGTTCAGACTTGTGCAACAAGAACAAAAATTGTAAGTTTTTTGGAAACAATTGTAGTTGCTCTGCTTTCGCCCCCGTTAGGAGAAGTCCCTGTAAGGATACAGAATCCTGCTTAAGCCAGGCCCTGTTAATTTGTCCTGCTTTTCAAACCCTTCTGAAGACTCCTTAGGCCTTGGACAGTGCCCACCCAGAGTCCTAACTGAAGAGAAAGGAAGGAAATAAAAACCACACTGATTTTACCAGTAGCAAAGTCAAAGAGGTGCCAAAGTAGGTCATCTGGGAAGATGATATTAGCAGTAAAGAGGGTTTATTAGTCCTTTGGAAGAGTTTTCCCCTTCCCAAAAACAGACGTAGGCACCAAATAAGTATGTGCCACAAAGCTAATTTCTTACAGAAATGCCTCTTTGTTTTCCTGGATAATTAACTTGGTTTAAAAAAAGTGTTTATTTTTTTGAACAGACACAATACTGCAGGGTTTGGTCGCAGACCGCGTGGTGCCAAGGGGTACCTCACCCAGAGGTGACCACAACTTTATAAAAAGTGTTTCCAAAATGTGAAATAAAGTCCGTGAGGCTTGGAAGTCTCACACTTACCTCCTGGACGGCGGCGTCGGCTTGCCCTTGGGCACCGCGATTGCTCCGAGGGACGCGCGTGCTTTAACGGGGGAATTCTTTGCCACAGAGACCAAGTTACTGGTTCTGGTGGTGCAACTGCTACTGGAAGAGCCCGTGCTGAGCGAGGACGCCTGTGGTTTCCGAACTCCACCAGCAGCACTTGTGTAACTGGTGGCTTTCACCGGCTGCCTGGGCGTTAGCAGAGAGTTTGTGCAGGACGCGGCTTTCACGGGCTGTCGCGCCGGTAAAGGAGACTGCCCGGCACTGGGGGAATACCTGAGCTTACTGGGAGCCAGACCTAGAAACGGGGTAACAAAAGAAAAAAAATAACCCAGGTGGCATGAGTATTTCTGGAACGCTTCAGGACACTGGGGCTTTCAAGGGCCTGGGGTTTGGTCGGGTCACTTAGGTGACACCGCACTGACCTGCTGACCGTTGCTGAGTTCTTGGAATTCGACTGTTTGGCACCTGCAGATCCGACTCCAGGCTCCGACTGCTCCTCACGGACTCCAGAGCTCGAAGGCTTGTCCTGGCCAGGTTGGGCATGCTGTGCCGCATCTCCTCTGAAACCAAGAGCAAATTCTCTGTTTGCTGCTTCTGCTAGCGACGGAGACGCGTGATAATTGTGATTATTTTATTTTAAAAGTGATGGTTTAGACAATCTCTTGGAAAACGCAGGCACGTGGAAGCAGGCAAGCGTGTAACCGATTCCCAGCTCCCATTAAATAACAGGGCTTTTTGGACATGTACGTGTCCCAGTTGTTCTCCTTGCCTGGCATCAAAAGCTCACCACTAGTTACCTTCGCTGCTGGCGTACTTGAGCCGGTCGGGCATGGGGCTTTGCACGGATCTCCGCGGGGGCCGGATCCGGGACGCCGCCGACCTGCCGTAGTCGGCGCTGGAAGAAGGGGACTGGCACCGGGGCGAGCTGAGCGGGGACGGGGAGTATCTGTGAGCGCTGCGGTACGACAGGGAACAGTCGTAATCGTCCTCGTCCTCCAGGCTGTAGGCGTCGAACTCCTGGTCGCTGTAGGTGCCCCTCCGCAGGGAGTGCAGGGAGGCGCTGGAGCTGCGGCGCGACACGGACGCGGAGCTGGAGGCGCAGTCCTGGCGGAGGCCTGGAGACAGAGGGCATCACCACGCTTCGACACGCAAACTCCTTACCCGGCTGCCACACGGATCCAGAAGCAACGCTTTTACCAGGGATCCGTTTCCCCTTGGAAGCAGAGCCCAGTTCATAACGCCCTTTGCTGAGGATGCTCACAGCTTACGGAATCTCCGAAGCGGAGCAGTGTCCCCCATTTCAGTGCCGTTCCATTAGAGCAAAGAGTTAATACTCAGTCTGGCCTGAATTACTCCTGGTGTCCCCCACACCAGCAGCTGTGACTGGGGACTCCATCCTGCCACGCTCCCTTAGGAGAACTGGCTGCAGGAGCCTCATAGAATCATAGAATGGTCAGGGCTGGAAGGGACCTTCAAAGGCCATCTAGTCCAACCCCCCTGCAAGGAACAGGGATATCTCCAACTAGATCAGGTTGCTCAGGGCCTCGTCCAACCTGGCCTTGAACGTCTCCAGGGATGGAGCATCCACCGATTTTTTAGTTCAACTAATTGCACACCCACCAGCACGTCAACAGGTGGAAACAAAGATCTGAACCTCCAAAAAAACCCACCTGTTTTTATGGGCACCTGCAGTGCCTCTGGCTGGTTTATTTACAGGTCCTCCCCCAACTTGCACCTTTGTTTGAGCCTTCTCGTCCCACAAAACACAAGCAACTTCTTAACCAAGAACTAAGTTAGCAAACTGGTTGAAGGGGCTGTGAGAAAGGCACCAGTTGAGGTTCTGAAACACCCTCTTCGCAGCACACTCCCTTCACTGCAGGCATTCAAAGAAAAAGCAAGTGCTCCCCACTCTTCTCCCTTCGCAACGCAAACGTGAAAAGCTTCCATCGTTCTGAGGATAAAGCCTTTTCATATTTCACTGTAAACTTTGTCATGTGACAGGATTTCCTTCACATTTTCTTGAACAAAGTGCAAGAAAATATTGAAGTTCAGAAAAAGGCCATTTTATTCAT